CTACTTTTATATTTATATTACTAATTACAATGTATATTATTAATTATGCATTATTTATAATACTATCATTTATATATACTAATATATTTATTTTATTTTTATGTTATTATTTATATTCTTTTTAACCATTTTATAATATTATTATTTATATTTATTTTATTACTATATTATTACTTCTATTCTTTTTACCAATTTATAATATTATTATTTATATTTACAATTATAATAGCTTGATGTCATTTTAATTTTATGTTTTTATTCACATTGTATAATAAAATTTCTATTTATATATTTATATTACTAATTACAATATATATTATTAATTATGCATTATTACATATGGTACTATCATATATATACTAATATATTTATTTTGTTTTTATATTATTTTTATATTCTTTTTACCAATTTATAATATTTTTATTTATATTTATGATTATAATATCTTGATGTTATTTTAATTTTTGTTTTATTTACATTATATAATAAAATTTCTATTTATATATTTATATTTATATTACTAATTGCAATGTATTTTATTAATTATGCCTTATTTATAATACCATCATTTATATATACTAATATATTTTTTATTTTTATATTATTATTTACATTCTTTTTAACCATTTTATAATATTATTATTTATATTTATTTTATTTTTATATTATTATTTCTATTCTTTTTACCATTTTACAATATTATTATTTATATTTATAGTTACGATTATAATATCTTTATGTTATTTTAATTTTCTATTTTTATTTACATTATATAATAAAATTTCTACTTTTATATTTATATTACTAACTACAATGTATATTATTAATTATGCATTATTTATAATACTATCATTTATATATACTAATATATTTATTTTAATTTTATATTATTATTTATATTCTATCATTTTACAATATTATTATTTGTATTCATTTTATTTCTATATTATTATTTCTATTCTTTTTACCATTTTATAATATTATTTACATTTACGATTATAATATCGTGATGTCATTTTAATTTTGTGTTTTTATTCACATTATATAATAAAATTTCTATTTATATATTTATGTTACTAATTACAATGTATATTATTAATTATGAGTTATTATTTATAATACTATCATTTATATATACTAATATATTTTTTTTATTTTCATACTATTATTTATATTCTTTTTTACCATTTTATAATATTATTATTTATATTTATTTTATTTTTATATTATTACTTATATTTTTTACCATTTTACAATATTATTATTTATATTTATATTTAAAATTATAACATCTTGATGTTATTTTAATTTTCTATTTTTATACACATTATATAATAATATTTATATATTTATATAATGATATTTATGTTATTTATATTAATTTAATTTTTTTTAGAAATTGAAAAAATTCAGAAAGGAGAGACAACAAAGAAGGATGAGGAAGAAAATTACCTGGATTTATTTTCCCACAAAAATATGAAGCTGAAGGAACGAGTTCTGATCCCTGTCAAACAATACCCCAAGGTGAGGCCAGAAAAAAA